GCGCACCCGGGATCCGAACCCGGGCCGCCGGCAGCGGAGAGCACGCACTTAACCGCTAAGCCACGGGGCCGGCCCTATCCTCTTTATTCTTGATGTGCTGAAATTTCGTGAGAGTCTGTTTATATAGGTTTTTTTTCATTCAGTGGGTTCTACCTTTTCAGCCTAAAGACTCATGTCTTTCTTATCTCTGAGAAATTTTCATATATTTAATCCTTTCATTTACTTTCCTCCAATTTCGAAATTCCATCTTTCTGGAATTTCTTTTAGATAGATGTTGGACTCTGAATTTGTCCTCCTTCTCAACCTCTCTCGCTCTGTTTCTAAAATTTCTTTTTCTCTTTTCTCCTATTTTCTGCAAGATTTCTCCAATTTTTTCTTCCAGTTGTCCTAAAGAGCCTTTATTTTAGCAATCATGGGTTTGATATCTAAGAATTATTCTTAATTTCTGATTATACTTTAAAAACAACAATCTCTTGGGCCGGCCAGGTGGTTTAGCGGTTAAGTTGGGGCTCCACTTCAGCAGCGCAGGGTTCATGGGTTCGGATCCTGGGCGCGGACCTATGCACCGCTCATCAAGCCATGCTATGGTGGCTGCTTCCCCAGCTGGCCTCTTTTTGATGGGAGCACTGCTTGTGAGCACTGGACGGCTGTCTGGACTTACCAGCTTCCCCCAAGAGCAGGAGCCTGGGCTGTACCTCTCCCCCTCTACTGCATGCTGAATGAAGATGAGCTTACTCTGGGGCACAAATACCCACACTTACCACCTAGCCCTCCTCAGGGAAAACATTCAATTTCTTTAGAGTAGTTCTGTATTGGCCTAGTTAGGGTTGGTGGTGGCAAACATAGTTGTTGCCAGTGGATTTGCACTGATGAGTTGGGGGTGGGGGAGAGAAGGAAGTGACTGGCATAATTGTACCAGTTCTGTGCACAAAACTTCAATTAAGATTGATTTCTGTCATGTTTCCCATTCTTACTCTCTGTCAGGACTGACTACAAAGAATAGATTTATACCAGCTAATACTGTCTTACCTGCAAG